CCGGCCTCGTTCCCTGGCGCCCCGGCCGGGATGGAGTTCATGAAGACGGTCTACCCCACACAGCCGCCGTGGGCAAGTCAGCCTGCGACTGCGTCATACGCAGCGCCGTATCAGCAGCAGCCGAATGGCTTGTCCTCGAATCAGTCTGGACCGAATGGAGGGCTCATGTACGGAGCTGCCCCCCAGCCGTTTGGCGCAGCCCCCCAGTTCAACAGCCAACAGCCCTTCGGATCGGGCCCGGCGCCCTTCGGATCGGGCCCGGCGCCCTTCGGATCGGGCCCGGCGCCCCTCGGATCGGGCCCGGCGGCGCCTGTCCCGTCCGGACAGACGCTCTACGGGTCTGGTCCAGGGGGTTCTAACGGGTCTTATTCCCCATTGCACCTGGGCAACGGTTGGTTGTATCTTGGTAGTGATGCTTCGTTGTTCCCGTCTGAGGGGTTGGAGTCTCGTGTGCGACGGTACGTGCGCGACATCGCTGCGACTCGATCCCACAACCTGTGTTCAGCCGCGTTCTGGAACAACCCTGTTGCTTTCAACTCCTGGGCCGCCGGCAAGCCAGTGCACGTAAGTCAGCTAAAGGACGCCGGTCAGAAGGCCAAGCACGATCTCCTCATCGGCCAGCTAAGCGAAAACCTGGGCCTTCAACCATCCGACATGGACGACTATGCCGAAGATGATCTCCAAGATAGCCACAGCGGCTACCAAAGCAGCGCCCAGGACGCTGTAGTCGAAACCTTTTAACGTTAAGTCAGTTACCCTTCTATCAACATAAGAGGTAGTTGAAGGCGACATAATCAACATAACCAACATAATCTTTAACGAACACACAACCTAGTGGGAATTGAACCCGGTGGGAATTGAACCCGGTGGGAATTGAACCCGGCAGGTACAAAGTCTGTGGTTAAAAGAGGAGGTCGTCATCGTTGAGGTTATATTCTTCGAGCATGTCGAGTAAGTCATCGAACTGGTCGAGGTCATACCCGTCGAGAACTTGGAGGACTTCGGCGGCCACGCGTTGAGCTTCTTCTTCGCCAAGGTCGTGCTCTTCTTGGAGATATTGCTGAAGTTCTTCAGGATGGTCTTGAACGGAAACGAGTCGGATGGGAATGTCGATTTCCTGGTAGACTTCGCGGCCATCCTCATCGAGGACTGCTAGTTCGAAGGTGATGGTCCGATGGTCATCTTCTTCGTCCTCATCATCGTGGTCCCTGGGGGTAAACAAGTTGTCTTCGAGACTGAAGGATTCTTGATCCCCACGAGGCGTAGGCGAAGGCAAGTCCAAACGCACTTTGCGACTGACAGTCTCTCCCGTCTCAGGGTCTTCCGTGACCGTGATAATCGTTACGTCACGAACCAAGTCCATGACACTAGCCTCCACCTGCCCCAATGTGTCCGCCACGATCGCCGCAATCTCGCCGTCCACAGGCACCTGTCTCAATGCGTCGATTACCGAATCCGCACTCCCCAAACCCTGCACTGGTGCGTTCGAATCCGTGCGTTGCCCACTTGCGCGCTGCGCCGCCAGGTTCTCGGCGGACACCGTGTCCACCCAGCCGGCGTCCATCTGCAACGGAAACGGCAGCTCCGGCCCATCGTCCGTGGGAAGCAAACCAGCGGACAAGCCTCTATTCTCGCCTTCATTGCTCCCTCGACCCTCCGAGAGGCGACTGCTTTCGCTCGCCCCGCCATCCTCAACTCCAGTCTTCCCTTCGCGTCCTGTTTTCCCCTCACCTACGGCTCCACTTTCCTTCTTCCTTTCGTCTCCCGCTCTACTCTCCGTCTTCCCTTCGGCTTCGCCTCCGAGGACGACTGCATCATCGCGGCCTTTACTGCTGCCGAGTCGTTCGTCTAGTCGTTCCTTAAGTTGTTTTAGAAGTGAGTCGCGTTCTTCTTTGTTCAGTTGTATCCGATTGTGCGGTATCTGAACTAGTTCGGCTTTGGCAAATTCGTGGAGTGCGTATCGAGTAGAAAGGTATCGTCGGTGCATCTGTTGGGCGGAGACGAGTGCTGCTTCGCGGGGTAAGTTGCGTACGGCGACCACGCGTACGGCGCTGCGGAGTGGTCGTAAGTCTGAGTTCACGACAGCGCCATCTCGAGTCAAAAAGGCGCGGCCGCGATTCTCAGCGAGGGCACGGTTTACCGTGAGAACCCAACTTGCATCGTACGCCGTCTGTGCCGCCACCGGTAGTTGAAACCCACGTGTCACTGGCGCGCCCTTGTCCAACCCTACCGAACGTGCGTTCTGTCTCACACGCAAAGGGGCTGTCCCGTAAAAGTGCAAATAGTAATGCAACCGTCGGTTCGGCTGGGCAGGGTCCTCAGTGGGGGAAGGGTCGCGGGTAGGGGACGGATGGTCCTGAGTAGGAGAAGTGTCGTGGGTGAAGGAGACGGGGTCGAACGAGACGGGGTCGAACGAGACGGGGTCGAAGGAGACGGGGCTATTCGGGTCGTCAGTCGCTTCCAAGATAACTGTGTTAGCCTCCACGTCGGGCTCCACCTTGTACAGGTCGGTGTGGCGAACGGCCTCGTTCAACAAAGCCTGGAAGTTGGCCCCATGGAACGTCGAAACAGGGTATCGGATGCGATAAGTCGGCACTGGCAGATTCAGATCGATGTAGTTAAGACGCAGCGGGGCGTAACTGGGCAGTAAGGAGGGGATGTAACCCCGCCTACGATTGTTCATGTATGCGCGATCCAGCCGTCCGGATTCCGCTGGGTCACTGGTTCGATTCCCGGCTTTGTCGCTGATTTCGATAAAGTCAATGCGCTGGAAAAGCGACCCCGTAATTAGTTGTCCTTGGCTCAGCTTGGACTCGAACCCGCGCAGCGCATATCGCCAGGCGACATTGAGGTTATCGCACTGTCCTCCGCGACGGTGTTGGTGCAGACAGTTGTAAAGCTGGCCTTCTCCTTCCGTCACGTTATGGACTGTGTAACCAGTCATTATCATATCCGCCCTTGAAGGACGATCATCCCCGCCTTCACCTAAACCCTCAGGCATTGTTGAGAATCCAATCTCCGAGACCACCATGGGCGGTTCGAGATGTATCTCGCCCCGTTCGCTCAGGAGACCCGCGTTGTGCCAGGCACCCTTGAGCGAGAGCACGTGACCCGGCGGCATGTTCTCAGTGCTTTGCGCAGACAGCCAGCCGGAGAGGGATTGCGGATACGACCAGCGCCAGTCGTCACCGGCCGCCACCTGCAGCTCGATCGGCGAGATCTCGCTCGACAACAAGCGCAGGTACGAACTGTACAGCTCCAGCCGACGAGGCGACAAGGCGTCCACCTCCGCGCTGGTAGCACTGCCCACTTTGGTATCTTCTGTAGTGCTGGCGCCGCTAGACTTCTTGTCTCCGTAGATCTTATCCCCCTGGATCTTGTCCCCGTAGGCCTTGGCCGGTCGGCCCGTGACGCTGTGTAGCCACTGGCGGACGTTCAGCCAGGGCGGAGGGCGGAGCCAGGGTCGGCCGAGGGCCTGGCGAGTGAGTGCGCGAAGCCAGGTCTTAAAGGAGAAGGGTCCGCGGCGGAGGTCGCCATGCCGCGGTCGCGTGGTGCCGAAATCCTTACCGTGGATCCAGCGATCCACGAGCACGGGTTCAATTCTCAGGGCGGCCACCACCGGCGGCCAGGTTCGTTTATCGCGGTTCAGCATGGACAGCACCGTCTCATCGTCGCAGCGCGCGCCTTCCAGGGCTCGCTGGGCCGTCCGTTCCGACGGAACGCGTCTCGTCCGGAACCGCGACGGCAACCACTTACCTTCCGACAGCCACTCCACCTCCGGCAACCACCGGATGAGGAGCCGACCGAGGCCCCGGAAAGGACGTGTCTCGGTGCCCCCGGCAGCGACCGTCCGTGCGGCCCCGGACTTTGCCGTTTCGGTCCTTGCGGTGCCGACTCGTGCAGTCCCCGTGGGGGGACGAGGCCGCGATGCGAAGTGGCGGAAGGGGAGGGGCGCGAGAGCCTGGCTTTCAGCACCGACTTTGAGAGCGACGGCAGTGACGGGTTTGCGTCCGTCGGCGGCAGGCGCCGCGGCTGTTTCGAGCGCGAGGCTGAGGGTGCCGGATAGGCTTGCGGGGAGCGGGCCGAGGAGGCGTCCGACGGTGGAGCCGCCGAAGACGCCCGGGTGCGGGTCCTTGTCTGGTGCGAGTGCATACGACTCTGAGTCCAGTAGCCTGTCTAGCGCTTCCGGATCGTTCACGCGGTGGCACACTCCCCCAACCTCTAGGTCGCCGGTTCGATTCCCGGCGGCAGGGCTGCGCACGCAGGCCGGACAAAGCGCGCCCGGCGCACAGAACTGTCGCAGCCAGTAGTCGTAGGCCGCGTCCTGCGGCGCCTCCCCGCGCAACCCACGCGCCTCAGCACTCGTCCGCGGAACCGCGTAGCGTCTACGCCGCTTCGCCGGTGCGAGCGCCCGCGCCAAACCGCTTGTGCGTGCGCGCGACGGTTCCATTCCCAGCGCCCACGTCCGCGCCGGCACCGCCAACAGCTGCGGGAGCTCCGCAGCCATCAGCCAACGACTCAGCACCTCCAACGGGACCCCCGATAAAGCACCTCGCGGCTCGGAACCCAGCGGGTGGGCCCCCAATTGCGCGTCTAGGAGGCGCGTGAAGCGATGGGTGTAGAGGTTGGGTCCGCGGAGGCCGGCGGCGTCCCAAAGAAAGTCTTCGATGCGCGAGTCGTCGACGGCTGCGCAGGAGCGGCCGGCGATCGAGTCGCACACACTGCGCGAGCGGCGCCGTGCGAACAAGGCGCCACGGTGCGCGCGCCACCACGCACCTAGGGCGCCGGTTCGATTCCCGGCGGGCGCCAAGCGCGGCAATACACGTGTCGCATCTTCGCGCCAACTGGCCACCTCCCGCACTGGGAACTTCACTCGCTCCCGCGACGCCGCGTTCAAACGTTCGGAAGCACTCGGGTTTAGACCCGCCACACACACCCAGAACACGGCAACGAACATTTTTTCCACGCCCATTTGCCACGGCCCCGCCCACGCCCCCCGACTTGCGCAAACGTGTTGCACACGCGTGCGCGCTACATTTACCCACCGGCCATGCTTTTCACCTGATATGTGGTGTCTCTCTCACCCGAGTGCGCTGAAGCCGCTGAAGATGAGCGAATGCTTACAAAAAGAACACAGGCTTGCGCACGCACGCACGCACGCACGCACGGGTAGGACCTACATGGCAAAGTTTCCCACATGTGCCTTGCCTACCGGATTCAGTCTTGACAGCCGGCGGACCCGGCTAGAACTAAGCGATGCAGTTTATTTGTGTACGCACAAAGGAACAAACTCGAAGCTGGACACCGTAAGATCCCCCGTTCCAACTCTGTTCGGAGTCAGTGGCGTCCAGGCATTATGCTGGTTCAGGGCCGTGTTGTCCCGCAATGTAGTGCTCTGCTAGTGTCGTATGACACCTCTTGCACCGCCGTAAAGATTTTACGCGAAAAGATTTTCGGAGGATCACTCGCGATGTCTCTACCTAGCTCTCCCTTGTTCGAATCACGTCTCTGCCAATCCGGAGTGCGTTAGAATATCGCTCGTCGTGGATGGTAGTTAATTAGGGTAGACGAGGAATTAAGGTAATTCGTTACGTCTTGTTGTGGTCGTCGGGATTCGAACCCGGATCCGACTGGTTGCACCCGATCGGAAGCGACCGTCCCCTGGTTCGCCGTAAGCCTCCGTCCCTTCTCCGGATGCACCGCTCCATAACAATGACTGAGTGACGCTCCTGAACTGCTGTGTTCCTCAATGCAAGTCTAATCCTTCAGGTAGCCCACGGTATACTAACCACTTTACCCGTTCTTGACGACCGGCCTGCCTGCCTCGAAGACCGCCCGCTCCTTTCACCCGCTTGCCCCGGGGGCGGCAGCTGCTGTTACAGATGGTCCACCATATGGCTTGTACACAAGGGAAGGCAGCCTAAGTATCCTCTTTCGTTAAGAATGGCTTCTTCAAGAACTGAAAATTCGGGTCCGATCGGTACTCCGTTACCGTAAGGGAAACAGACGTGTTCCACTTCTGATCTCCAATCGCCGCGTGCACAAATGAGTGTTCCCTCACCCCATTTTTTAGTACAGGGTTCGCGGAAGGATGACCCCGGCGGCAGCAAATCATTTCTGTCGGGCACGTGTCGGACACACTCCTGCCACGGTTTCTCCAGTGCAGACAAAACGGAAAACGCTTTGGAAGACTTCACTCGTAAATAGGCGGCCGTTAATAACCACCCAGCGGCTAATAGACCGGCCACTCCAATTCCTTTCCATAGTAGCGAACCATTTGGAGGGAGAACGCGCACCGCTTCGATGTCAAAACGGTCCAAGTCAATCGTGGCCCTTCGCATCACGTCTTTCCATCCCTCCGGCACCACCGGTTGCAAAGCCTGCAACCTTCGCTTTGTCAGCTTCATCGAAGCGAACACTTCCAACTCCTCCGAATCAGTTGTCTTCAACACTGATCCCTCATTACTAAACGCCGTCATCAACTTGGACCTACATTCACCGAAAACCTCCCTCCAAACGTTGTCAGCCTCCCACAGATCATTCACCATGTGTTCCATCAAAATTTTCGTGGCCTCCGAACTACCAACGGCCGCCTCCGAACTATCCATGAGCTCCGAACTATCCATGAGCTCCGAACTATCCATGAGCTCCTCCTCTAACGTCTCCAGCCTGTTCTGTAAAGTGTCTTCCACGGTTTTCATGAACCTCTCGATATGGCGGAATACCACCGACTCGGTATACGGAGCAGGCGCCTCAGGAGACCAGAAAAGTCTCAGTCTGCTCGAGTCTTTGCAGAGGTCGAACTTTCGTGACACGTCCCAGATTACTTCGGCAGCACTATTCACCCTGGAGGCATCCGGTTCCGTGCCATGCACCTGGTCATCGAGTCTCTGAAGATCGGCTTCGGGAGCTAGTACAACAGCGTACGCGTGATCCTTTCCGTCAACGCCCACAATCACGAATCGAGCACTCATGTCGTCATCAAGCTCCGGTTGGATCCCCTCGCCTGTCAGCAAAGCAGCCAGCAACTCTTGCGTCTCAACCGCACCTGCACCCGCCACAGTCCTCATGAAGAATAAATTGTCATGTAAATCAGGGCGCGTAAATGTCGATCACCCGGAACGTCGTTGCATGTTACCGGACAGCTTACTACTGGTCCAACAACATCAAAAGCCCCCCGGCGTCGAAACCGTCTCCCATTCAAGACGCAGTCCCAGAGCCTCCATTGATTGGACCGTTGGGTTCCAATACGGTCGCAGCCCTGTTTTCTCACTCACTTAGGTCTAGTCAAAAATCAAGCCGGACGGCGGTGGAGCTGTAATAAGGCGGCAGGTCAGAAATCTCTTTTGATAACTAGACTTCGTCCGACATGCCTCGGCCGATCCATTGCAGCGGTCAAACTAGTCTCTTAATGGGCAGATATAGATCCGGCCTGCCTGGAATCGAACCCGGAACCTCCAGCTCTCGGCGGAGATGAGGCGGGGAAAAGAGCAGCTCTTCTGACGAAGGCTGCACGCAGGTCAGGTTGGGAGAGGCCTCCGGAGAACTGAATGTAGTGGGTAAAGTTGAGGGACCCCGAACTCCATACCTCCCCATGATGACGAACGCCATAAGCCTGAAGTAGCTCTTTGACAGTTGGCAACGGCAGCTGTAGACGGCGATATCCGGCGAGGACAAGACACAACCGGCAACAGCCTCACCCGCGAGGCCTGTTGCTACCGCCTGGTGCCCTACAGCTCTAATTAGCTGTTTTAAGGCCAGTTCCAAGCAATCCTGGAGGTGGATGCACGACGCCTCGGCCAAATAGGGTTCCGCAGCATACTCCGTATACAGCAGTTCCCTCACGGTATGCTATCTTGGCGGAGATGAGGCCACTCAGGCGACATCTACGGTCGATCTCAACCACCGCGCGCCAGTCATCTGCCGTCGTACGTCTGACTAAATTAGGCGGGCGAGGCACAACAACTGACCTTGCCCACTGACACACCACCCGGCCTTGCAACCCACCATGGACAGCTCCGCCACAGAGTTGTCAAGAGGGTTAGTAGCCATCGTGTG